CCCCTCTCCACCCTCAGGTGTGCTCTTACAGAAATTAACAATCAAGGTGACAGTAAATCTTGGAAACACCGGAACACAGATTACAAATGGGAAAAAGCAGGACAGTATTGTCAGAGATGGCACAGGCAGGACTCTGAAGGACCCATCAGGCAATAGGGAGCCATGACAGATTCTGGAGAAGAGGATACAGTAAGGATAGAGTGTGCAGGATAAGCATTGTGGGTGGCACAGACACAAAGCAGAAGGGGAACCTGGGGTGATTATCATGTTCAGCTCCGAAGCCAGATCACTGACTTTTCTTACCATTCCTAACACAATGAGTCTGACAGATCTGAAGTTGTTTTTTTAATTACCATTGACAATATTGTGAACTTCGTTCACTTAATCTCCATTAAAGTCATTGAGGATGATGCATGGACCTTTTAAGCTACTAAAAAAAAAAAAGAAAAAAAAACCCTGAAAATAGATTCTCAAAACTTCCCTATCCATAGCCCAACAGGCCAGACCAACAAATACTGCTTAACATTAAAGGTAAATAACTAATGCACAAACGGGGAGTAAATTGTACTCCCATTCTCTATTAATTGCCTGACATATTAATGATATTTTAACAAACCATCTGTGACATTCTTGCAGCCCAGCCTCAAAAGGTAGGTGTTGGTATATAAATTAAAGGATAATAATAAATAAAACTGTAACTAATCTCCATCTAGCTTTTCACATTTTTCACGGAATTTTCACATGCCTTATGTCACCGGACTTCATAAGCACTGTGTGGAGTTGCTCTTAATAGACACTTAGAAAGGTTGAAAGCCAGGAGCCAAGCCCAGGTGGCAAAGCTCGAAATGCTTTGCTCTTTTCACAGAATCACAGCGTTTCTTATGTTTGAACAAATGGCGCAACGTGTGTGAGAAGAGGCAGGACGTGAAGCCGGATGACAGAATATCCAAGCTGAAACACCCAGCAAGGCTAAGGCAGAACAGCGACTTCCCACAAAGCCAAAGCGAGAATGGGCCCCGCCAGACCCGATGACCTTATTCCAGGTCCAGAAGTCCTGAAATGGAAGCTGTCAGCGCAGAACAGGCCTGGATGATTCAGACATACTGGTTGCAGAGCAGTGGCCAGTAGGGAATGCGGGTTTTGTTTTGTTTTGTTTTGTTTTTTTATATCCAGGGAAATGGCATTTCTCTGTCACTTAAAATAAGTATGTGATTTGAAGGAGGAGGAATCAACAGATTGGGATGAGCCATACGCCAGGCACTGCACTGGACTCTCAACAATATTCTCTTACTGATTTCTCATAAACACCGGGCCAAGTTGATACAAAAGCCCCATTGTACAGAAAAACAAACTGAGCATTGGATCCAAGAGTATAATACATTCCCCCATGGTCACAGAATGCCCCTATCATTTACAGGTTAAAAACCACTCACTTGTGACATCCAAAATATGATCTGATGTGCCACCTGCCTGCACAGATAGCACACAACGAGGATTAAATCCAAGCCAACCTGTCTCCCAAACACATGTTTCTGTGTCTGTTGAAGAATCCAATTAATAGGGGCTGAATACACAGGCAAATACAGACATTTCTACCATGCCATGCTATCCTCTTTGTGATGGGATAAACAGAGAGGAAAAAGGATGTAAATTACAAGATTTTTAAAGCAACCAAGAGGCATAAATGGACAAACTTTGTGAACAACAAGAGTATTCACAAAGAACACTCGCCTGGATCCAGACCGGGAGTGCATCTAGGATGGTTATTCTGAGGAAAGCAACCACATAATTTGAAAGGTGCCTGTGGCACTAACACCCCCTTGAAAACATGGCCCCACGGACACTATACGTCGGGGTCTGATGAAGGAATGCGGTGAGGAACACAGAGGCCACTCACTCTCCCCCATCAATGCACAATCCTGCTTAACAGCACTTTTCTTGTGGGTGACTCTCCCTCCTGGGACAATAGTGACGTTCCAAGGTTGATCCCTCCAATTCTCCAGTTTCCACCACTAATGGCTGGGACTTGAATCCACTGCCAAGACCAGCTTCCAGTAGCCAGCCATGGAGCCAGTGCATCAGGAACCTGAGCATCGGCCGCAAACGTGACACATGTGCCCAGGATGAAGCTTATCAGCCTTTGAGGCACAGAGCTAGCTGACTTGGCCCATATGGGAAGGTGGTGAATCCAATGAGGGCACAGAGATACTACAGCTGTCATGTGGGTATAGGCCAATGTTTCGTGGAAGATTCAATTCCTGTTTCATCCTCTTCCTCTCCACCCAACCACCGCCATCATCCTGAGGGACATTAACGTGCAGAGCTGACTCAGCCAACTGCTATCATGGTGTTGTGAGAAGCGGCTGAGAATGGAAAAGACCCCCTACCTTCACGTCCCAGCCTCGAACGATGACTCATTTGTGGCTCCTTCATCAATCTGTTTCTTCCCTCTCTGCCTCAGTCTCTTCCCTGTAAAATAAGAATTTCCATGAGATTAAAGGGGAAAAGCCATCTAAAGCACTTAGGGTTGTATTTAGTGTAATGTTAGTGACCATTTTTACCTCCCCATCAGCTGCCAGACCCTAGATCTTATGGTCACCACCCAGGAAGTTTCTGGCTTTGAAATCTTAAAAATCTAACATCTGACCACAGCCTAGGTATTCTCAGCTCTTTTAACCATCTACCATCTTTTGTCTGACCTTATCATGGTATCCCACTCTTTGAGTTCTCTATGCATATCAGCTCCCTGTTCCAGACTTCTCTTAATCCCATGGCTCTAAACCATCATTTCATTAATTCTCTGGCTCCTTGCTCTATAGCTCCCCAGCCATACTTCCCATAAGTAGAACCACGGGACAAAGCAGCCATCTGCTTCTGCTGCTGCCCTATCAGTTCCCATTTTATGCCGGGGATAATGACCCAGGGACGCCCTATGCCGGGCCCCATCCCAGCTGCAGCATTAACACCCCTTGGGCCTCAGGCAGCTCACCTCCATTGTTCTAAGTTGACCTGCTACATTCTCCCAAGCCCCAGCCCCACTTGGTTCCCCTGTCTCACAGAAGAGCACCTTGCTTCCTACTTCAGACTGATCAGACAGGGATTACATATAAACTCTCTGTTTTGTTTCATTACCCACAAATTTGGAATGCTTTCCATTTCTTCCTACCACATCCTCCTCCTCAGAGGAAGATGAGTGTGCTTCTTCCTTCCTCTGTACCATGTACCGCTCAGGAGTCTTGCCCATCAGTTATCACTTCTGTATTCTGCCCTGCCAGGTGACCCCCCAGCAAAGACCCCTTCCATCAGCATGTAAATATGCTTGGACTTCCCATACCTCAAAAACAAAAGGAAAATCTCCCTTGAGCCTCTACCTCCCTCCAGCTCCCTCACACAGATATGCTCCTTCAAAGCACTGTCTATACTTGTACTCTCTGCTCCTCTACCTTCCACTAGCTGTACAGACCAATTTTCCAAGCTATTTCTCTAAGAAGGTCAATAACAAACACGGAGCTTCACTTGACTCCCTTCTCTTCCTCACTTCTCCTACCTAAGAATCCAAAAGTTCCATCAACTCTGATGCTTCATGCACAGCAGCTTTTAATTCTGTTCCATCTCTCCATTCAACGTACCCCAACCTTCCAAACTCATCCAAAGACATCTCAATCACACTTCTCTGCGATCTGGCCTCTACTCCATGCCAAAGAGGGAAAAGAGGCAAAGGAGGAATGTTTCTCTCCTTGCTCAGCATCCTGAAGTGGTTCCCACTATATTGCAGGCAGATCCGCTCCCTTCTGCATGATGTACAAGGAAGGTTCTTAAGATCTGGGTGTAGTGCATGTGGCCACCATAAGGGCTAACTGAAGTATGGAGACTATAGATCTAAGTGTACTTCTTCTACAAAATGCTTTCAGTAGGACATTAAAAGTGTTTCAAAACTTTCAGAGGAAACTCATCAAATGTTGGCATTTCACAGAAAATTCATCAAATATTGGAATGCTTTTATGACCTAATGTCCTTAAGAACAGATTTTATATGGTTATTTCTTGAGATGTTTCTCAGTGCAGAAGGTACCACTCAACAAAGATGCTGTGAGAGGGGACTTTCATATGACCCAGATGTGATCTCACGTGACATCTGCAAATGCAAGATCAAAACGTCCTTCCTGGGGCGCCTGGGTGGCGCAGTCGGTTAAGCGTCCGACTTCAGCCAGGTCACGATCTCGCGGTCCGTGAGTTCGAGCCCCGCGTCGGGCTCTGGGCTGATGGCTCAGAGCCTGGAGCCTGTTTCCGATTCTGTGTCTCCCTCTCTCTCTGCCCCTCGCCCGTTCATGCTCTGTCTCTCTCTGTCCCAAAAATAAATAAACCTTGAAAAAAAAAAAATTAAAAAAAAAAAAAAAAAAGTCCTTCCTCCTGACCACAGCAAATCCAACTATTCATTCCGACCGTCAACTCTAAGATTCCAGCATTCTGACTGAGGCAGCTATTTCTATGCTTCTTTCCAGATGAGGACCCTGAAATTCCAAAATGAAAGGGAACTCTCTTCAAGTCCCACTTCCAGTGTCCATAGCTGAGTTGGGACCAAAACCTGGTGGTCTCTTGCCACTGTGGTGTGGGGGTGTCTGCCCACAGGTGCCGAAAGTCCACATGGTCCAGTGTGAGAGGCCCCTTAGTTGTTAACAGTGTGTTGTTAGCACAGAGGCTGTGATCAGTAAGAAGGTCTAGGGGCCACAAGCAACCACACAGACAGAGGAGGAGGAGGAGGAGGAGGAGGGAAAGGAAGAGGGGAGGACTCCAAGGGGAGGAGTAGGGATGGCATACATGCAGCCACAATGGATGAAGCATGAGATGAAGGGGAAAGAGGACACACTGAGCCTGAGCTTGGCCCCACAGGAGACCCCCTCGGGAGACTGAGTTCCCTCTCTGAGTCAGACCGTATTTTCATCAAGGCCTTCAGTCCAGCCCTAGAACACCAAGCAGAAGACAGTCAGATAATCACTCTGCTGTTTGATTTTTTTCCCTCCCACCAGTAGACAATTATGCATCACTCCAGGCTTCTGGTAGCACAGTCAGTTCCACACTAAATGGCTCCCAACATCCAAGTCAGATGCACAGTGCCATTGACATGGCTGGTACAGCCTGCAACCCAGCATAGACCAGCCTCCCTTGAGTATGCGCACACACACACACACCTGCACGCACAAACACACAAGCATTGGTCTCAGAGTCAGTGAATGACCAGCTTCTCCACCCAGTTGGCCAACTTCAAACCGAGGAATCAGCTTCAGTCCTGCTTTCAAAGCAGCCCATGGAGCCAAGTCTGTCTAATCTCCATGATATGTCTCCCTCTTCCTCGTCCCCACACTCCTCACCTGGCTCCAAACCTCTTGATCCTAAACTTGGATTAGGTCTCCCTAATCCCTATCTTCCCTTCCACATAACCTACATAAAATATAAACACATAACCCCTCTGATTAACTTCCTTCAGTTCCATTGTCCCTAATAAAGTTCAACCTCCCCATTGTTCACAACAATGAATCCCAGCCCTTCACCTTGCTAAGCATTGAACACCAATCATTCATTAATTCATCTACTCAACAACTATTTATTGAGTATCTACGCCATGCCAGGCATTGTTCTAGGCACTTTGGATAAATCCAAAGCAATGACTCCTGTCTTCACAGAGCTTACATTCTAGTTGATGAAGAAAGCAGTAAGTAATATCCATAATAAGTATGTAAATTACATAGTATGTTAGAAGGTGGTAAATGCTATGGAAAAAATAAGACGGAAGATAGAGAGAGGAGGTCGGGCATGCTGGGGGTAGGGTGGAAGGCTTTTAAGTATAAACTTGGTGGTCAGAATCATCCTGAGAAAATGACATTGGAGTAAAGACTTGAAGGAGGTAGTGTTGTAAGTCTATTCTATTCTAGGAAAGATTATTCTAGGCAATGGGAGGAGCCAGTGCAAAGGCCCTGAGGTTCCTGGGAAATAGCATGGAGGCCAGTGTGGACAAAAGAAAGTTAACAAGAGGGAGAGGCATGGGAAATGCCATCAGAGGGGATAAGGAGGCCAGATCATGCTCCTCTCTCACTCCCTACCCTGCGACTCATGAGTCTCCCCCCTAACACTTGTCACTGTTGCAATTCCCCAGCAGGTTGGGTGTCCTCATGCCCTAGCACCTGTGCTTATGTTCTGACACCATGTTGCCTGATCACCAACTCTTCTGCCCACCACAGAGCTCTGATCATCCGTTTCCCAATCCTCCCATTTTCCTTGACCATAAAGCTATTATAGCATTAAAAACTGAAATGCAGTTACCCAGCTCCTGGTCTCTATCACCCCCTGGACTGAGCTACTTCAGGAAATGAATCCCATCATCCCTGTCCTCTCTTTTTCCCTAAGAATCACATGGCTACAGAGACGCTGGATAAAAAGAGAATAGGCAGTTAAGCATAGGAGAAAGGGAAGTTGGAAAATAGTGCTGAGGATTGAGATTATCTTGGTCAAATACACACCTAACCTCATTGAAACTCAGTTTCCCTGTCTGTAAAATGAACATAACAATTGTGGCTCCACCTACCTTCCAGAGTTATTCCATAGGTAAAAGGAGACTAGATAGGGACACAGCTTATGGAGAGGGGCTAACCAACTGCAAAGGGTTATCATTATTGTTCCATTGCTGTTACCTAGCAAATCCTTTGTGCTAGATAAAAAGATGCCTCTGGTTCCAAACATGTCCCAGTTATGTGCTTTGGTTCCAGGAGAGGCAATGTTGGAGGAAAGATTATCTTGTGTCACATGTGATTTCTTCGCAAAATGGGGCACAGGGAGCCTGACTCACTGTGGAGAAGAGCCTCCCGGGTAATGAATTAGGAGGGTCCTCCGAATGATCCATCCACACTCTGTCCAGCAGGTCCAGCAGGCACTGACTGTCTGAACCACACCTGCCGTGGGAACGCCAGCTGCCCCTCCCCCAACCCATCCCCACCCCCACAAATTGTCAAAAAGGCACCGTGATAGATAGAGCTCCCACATGCCACAAGGTAAGTGTTTAAATCTTTTATAAGACAGTCAATGGCCTTTATAAACCCTCAGACAAGAATTACACTGTGTCTGAGATGGGGCTGAAAGTCAATGGGAAATTGATTCTGTCTAGCTGGTGCTGTTTCAAGGAGAAGGCTTGCTGGGTGCCTTTGGGACCAAACGTGCCATCTCCCATGTGCCCTGGGGTGTAGCGTGTCACATGCTGTGAATACAGAGATACTGGGGCCCATTTCCTGGCAGAGGCCCCAGGGAGCTGTGAGTTCCAACCACAGGAAGACCCTGGAGGGCATCGACCAGCACCAGGGATAGTTACGAACTGTGTTTACCTTCCCAAGAATTGATGCCAGACCAATCATGCCACTGCCTGCATCCCAGGTGGAGAAGCCAGAAGATGATAAGCGGCCATTGATCTGGAGGCAACCAGGGGGG